GCTACTAGGGGCTCCTGGCATCGCTACTAGGAACAAGAAGCTACTAGGGGCTCCTGGCATCGCTACTAGGAACAAGAAGCTACTAGGGGCTCCTGGCATCGCTACTAGGAACAAGAAGCTACTAGTAGCAAGGTGCCTTACTACTAGTAGCTTCTGCTATCAACTCTGCAATTTGTTCCGACATGTGTTCTGACATATGTCATATGTTCAAACATTGTTCTGATGTGTGTTCTGGCATGTGTTCCCTCGCCTTTTCTGACATTTGTTCTGGCATTATGTCTGACATGTGTTTCGACATCTGTTCTAATACAGTATGTGTCCTGGCATGTATCCTAAAATCTCATGTTTTCTAGCATATGAGCATATGTTGCAGCATTCGCAAAAACTCCAGCGCGGACCACTCCTTATTTGGGATTCCAACAGGGCTTGGCTGGCTGGGCGGGCAGGCGCTTGAGAGAGAGAGAGAGAGGAGAGAGAGAGAGCCTTTCCGTCTACAACCGGCGTTTTGCGCTCCAAGGAGTTAAAGCAAACTCCAGATTGCTCTTGGAGTGAAAAACGGGAAGAAAAGGAACAATTAACTTTTGGTTTTTGGTTCGCTCGAATTGATTTCTCAAAGACCAAAAACCGATCAAGCCGGCGTGACAAAAACAGATGAACTGCTGAATTCTCGAAGCGAGTGGCCAGTGCATGTAGTTCTTCTCTGATTGGGCTTTAGACGGCTTAACAGTGTCATTTGAGAGGACACGGGAAGTCTAGGAGCAAGGACGCTACTAGGGGAGTTTGTCTTCAGAATCAACAGACATCCAAACGTTTGGCGCTTTGCTTGCGTGATGGCAAAATGGCTTCAAAGGCGAAGTACGTGGGCGTGCGGATGCCTGGGCACAACACTGAACAAAAACGAGCTACTAGGAGCAAGAAGCTACTAGTAACAAAGGGCATCGCTACTAGGAGCAAGGACGCTTCTAGGAGCAAAGGGCATCGCCCACTAGACGAGTTTCAGGATCCTCTGCTCACTTCCCCGGATTCGTTTGGTTTGCCCGTTGTTGTGATTGCTTCTGTTGCCCTTTATGCTCATTCCTTCTGCTTGTGTCGCTTAAATGTGTTCTCTGTTGTAATGTCCGGCCTTTTGCGTCTGTTCTTTCTTGCGTTGTTTCTGCCTTTCATGTGAGCCTGTTGTTACTGCTGTTGTATGTATGTGTGTCTGTGTTGTGTTTTCTGCTATATTTGTGGCACCGTTTGTATTTATTTATATAGATGTTTCTCATGTTTACTCTTCTTCTTCGTTCTCCTTCGTCTCCTTCTCCTTCTCCTTCTTCTTCTCCTTCTCCTTCTCCTTCTCCTTTCTTTGCTTTTCTGCCATTTGTTTGCGCCTGGTTATTGTTTGCCTTTTACTTTTGTATGCACCTGATCTGCTTACTTATTGCATGTGTCTGCTGCGTCTGTTGTTTTCTGCTTAGGAGAGTCCATGCATCTTGGCGGAAAGACAGTGCAAGGCATTTGCATGACTCGAATCACAAAAGAATGACAAGCTAGAAACGGGGCTCCCATGATTATGGTCATGAGCGAACATTCTGACTGACTTCTCTGATCAGAAGGTCTACAGCATGGCTCCAAGAAACACGAAAGAAATGAATCCTTTGTTGAGACTGACACTTTAGACCTTTCGCTTGGCATTGTTTCCTTGCTTCGCCTCTTTTTTTAGCGTTAGCCTGTCCTTCTTCTTCTTTTGACCTTTTTGGTAAACCGTCATTCAACCTTAGCAATTCACGTGCGCTTTACGTCTCACACACACACACTGTTGCCTTTGAGCAGGAGAAGCGCACTTATGCGGAGCTGGTGCTCTGGAACGAGAAAGTGCTCACTTTTTGGCGTTCGACTTTCGAAACAATTGTCTGTTTTCACTGGCATTCGTGTATTGGCTTCTCTGTCCTACTTGCCCGTGCTACCCACGTTTACTTGTCCCCGTGGACTTTTGTGTCATGTGTGTTCTAAGCCAACGGCTGCGAGCTATCATTCAAACAACTAATTCACTTGCCTTCTCCATACATGTCCCTTGAATTGAAAGCTTCTTTGCAACTATAAACTGTTGTGTCTTTTCGTTCGAAGCGAAATCAGACGCTTGCAAGGAAGCCAACAAGATCAGCACGATCCTTAGTGTCAGAATCAAGCTGACTCTTCCAGTGCCATCATGAACTCTCGAAATCTAGTAGTCGTGCAAGGCTTTCACATGTTGTGACCACAACAGCCCATCACTTGCCTCTTCATGGCTCATCCCACGAAAGGTCATGCATGACCTCAGCAAATCTGAAGAAAGAGAAACTCAAAAAAGAAACAACAAAGGACATCGCTACTAGGAACAAGTGCATCGCTACTAGTAACAAGTGCCTTACTACTAGTAACAAGAAGCTACTAGGAAAAAGTGCATCGCTGCGTCGCTACTAGTAACAAGTGCCTTACTACTAGTAACAAGAAGCTACTAGGAAAAAGTGCATCGCTACTAGTAACAAGTGCCTTACTAGTAGTAACAAGAA